GGCTCCCCTGCCTCAGGGATGTCAGGGGCGGGCTTGAAGCCTGGACGGCTCGGACACGCTCCTGGGTCCGCGCTCCACCCCTTGGTCCCGCTCGATTTGGGGTAGCGTCTCGCGGAGGCAAGGCCCAGCTGCCACCAGGGCCCTCCCTATCCCAGCCACGTTCCCCTCCCACTGAGACTCTGCGAGGCTCCTGGCTCTGCAGGGGAGCTCAGAGAAGGGCGTGGCCACAGCCTAGGGCACGCCCCCATCCCGTGGCCCTATCCCGGCTACCCTAATGGGAAAGCGGTTTGAGATGCTCCTGGGCCTCCACCTTTAACCTGAACTCCGTCACTCAAGTGCTCCTTACTTTCCCATTATCTCTGCCCCGCCCACTGCCCCTTCCCCAGCCCTGGCCCGTCTCTCTCTTTCTTCTACACAAAACATTCCTCCTCCTCTCCCTCCGGGCCTCGCCCTTTCCCTAGTGGTGGGTAGTGACTCCAACTGTGGCTGCTCCTGTCTGCATTGTTCCGGGGCTCATTCGTTTTAGAGGGCCCAGGAGGCGGCTTCCCCCTTCCATAAGGATGGCCTTAGGCCTTAGCCTAAGCAACTCCATTTTAAAAACTCCACTTTGAAACCTGCAGCCTCACCAGGCACACCTAGGAGCCCTCTGATAATGATTATCAGACATAGCCCTGACATAAGTCACTTCTCCTCACCCAGACAAGCTCAGAGTGAAGTCTCTGTCATGTTGTCCTTGCCCTGATAATGGAGAGAGGCAAGAAAATCAGGGTGGGGACCACCAGACCAGATGCTGTAACCCCAGGGCAAATGATGTCACTGAGAAATCCCGTGGGAGCTGGTAGGGATTGAAAGGGTGGTCAGAAGCCCCAAATTTTAGTATAAAAAAGCAAATGAACAGACATTCAGCCAGCGACCCTGATGCCCTCACTCTGGGAGCCTGATGAGGACCTGGACTGACATCCCAACTCTTCTCATCTTTTGCCTGATCCTCTGCTTCTTCCTCACTGTTCTCAAACTCTACAGCCACATCTTGATGGTGAGAGCCACTTCTTCTCCCTAGGACCCTATCTTCAACTGGCTGTCAGCTCCACCCTAGGAGAGTCCTGCCTTGGGTCCTGACCTGATCAGGGCGGTCTGAGTGAGTGTGCATCTGCTAGACTTTTGATCTGACACTTGAGCTTAGCATGCAGATGGAGTGTCTGTCATGAGCCTGTCATGATTAAGTGTATTTGGTGTGCTTAGAATTAATCTAGAATTGTTTGCTGTGAATTGATTATGTCTTTTGCAGTGTCTAGCATTAAGGATTGTCGTGTGTGTGTGTGTGTGTGTGTGTGTGTGTTGCTGGGAATTGAACCCAGGGCCTTGTGCATGCAAGGCAAGCACTCTGCCAACTGAGCTATAGCCCCAGCCCTGTTATTTTCTTGATTAAGAACCTATAGAATGAAATGGTGTTGAGTGATTTGAGTTGAGTGAATAAAGCATTGAAAAGGGCAGAAGCGCGTGGACATTCTTTATTTCTCCCCCTTGACTGCATAAGTTGTGACACCTTTTCTGGTCCTCATTTACACCTCCTTTTCCCCAATACCCCTTTACCCCTACACAACATCATTCTACCTCCTGTTCCCCCACAGTTGAAGGAACCTAGCAGGGGACAACCTTGTGTTGTTGTCCCCTCTCTTCACAAACCCCCTCATAGGTCTCCTACACCATTCTGACTCAGTTCAGGGGTACCTTAAACATCATGGATTTGGGCATGCTACCACCCTCAACTGTCCAAGAGTTGGATGCCGAAGGTCCCAGGTTTGAAGGATTACACACCAGAAAGACCTTGGGAACACCTCAACATGTGTTATAATTAATAACTTAGGCATGCCAAAAGGGGAACACACAGAACACCCCCCTAAACCTGAGCTCAAAAACCCAGTTGGGAAGTCAGGTACCTGAATCAGAGTGACTGAGAATGGAAGAACTGGGGGGCACAGGATGGCGAGTGTGGACCTCTTATGCCCAGCTGGGGGGCCAGAAGTAATCCAGACATCTTCCCTGATGGTCTTGAGAAGGAGGAATCCACAGAAGGGCTTCCTGCTTTGGGCTCAGCCTCCATGCCATTGCCTTCACCCCCTCTCCCACTCTTCTGTGAGCAAGGTCCCAAGGCCAGAGGACCCCTTCATCTCTGTTCAACTCCCTGAGAAGGCAGCAGCCAGGGAACATAAACCCCTGTCACCCCTGAAGTAGCTGAAGGAAACTCAGGCCCCCGAAAGTCCCAGGCAGGTGGAGGGACAGGGCTGAATAGAAGTGTTCCCCAATCCTCAGCCTCACTGGCAGGCCCGGAAAGTGCTGAACTCTGGGGGCTCTGGTGAGGATGATGTGGAGGTGGGCCTCTTTCGGGGTCCACAATTGCCAGCGCAAGCATCTAGGGTGGCTGCTGGGTCTTCTTCTGAAGTCATTTTCTTGGTCCATGAAAGAAAAACATCAGAAGTGAGTGATTTGGAGCATCAGAATCTAGGATTCCCCCATGTTCGTTCTGAACCTGAGACTACTTCAGCCCATCAGGTCTCATATCAGCTCTTCTACCTCTCCACACCTGAGCCTCAAGGACCTGCTCCTCCTGTCCTGGTCTTCTGTTCTCCAGGGTTCCTCCCTGCTGAGTAGAGGACCTGAGAGCAGGAGTCCAAATCGGTCACTTCTTGGCAATGTGAACTCTTTGCTTCAGTTTCCCCTTTTGAACGTGGAGAGAATGCTAGTACCCACCTTCTAGGGTTCTATGAGACTTAAAGAAGTACAACAGATAAACAGTGGCTGACACCTCTAAGCTTTGTTAAACGATGAACACATCCATTGCCGCTCTCCTTTGTTTCTCCCCTTCTGAGTACCTCAAGATCTTCAAGATCCACCCTCTTCCCTATCTTGAATACTTGAAATTCTAGTCAAGGACAAATGAACTTACTAGAACTAAAACCAAGTGGTTGAGAGCAGGTGGGGTTCCAGCCTGCCTCTCCCTAGCTGGGAGACTACAGTAATGTCCAAGTCCAACCTCAGGGAACTTCTTTGTAAAAAGAAACTGTCAACCTCACTTAGCAGGCTGTTATAAAGTTGCATATCAGGCCCTCCGCAAGGTAACAGTAAAAACTAGAGTCAGCTACTTCGTAGTCATTTCAGCCAAAAACACAGCTTTACAAAGCTTCAAAAAGAAACTAAAACTGACTGTGTTGTGCACGTGCAGCAGCCTGTAGTTTCAGCTACTCAGAAGTTGGAGACAGAATGATCACAAATTTTGAAGGCCAGCCTGAGCAACTGAGAGGGACCCTGTCTCAAAATAAAAAGAGCTGGGGGGGCTGGGGATGTGGCTCAAGCGGTAGCG